CGGTTGGGCGAGCCAAAGTGTTTTTATGAAGAAAAGTTGTCCCGCCTGCCAGGGTTACCCTACCTAACGAGGCGTGAACCGAGTTGTCCCGCCCCCCGAGACGGGTTCGCGATCCTCATGTAAACGGTTGGTTGAATCAGTTACAAAGAAATAAGTGAAAAGTTAGATCAGCCAGGGTAACTCGGGAAGAGGGTTGTCTCGGATAGCCGAGACAATATCAACGGGCTCTAAACATGAGTACCTGTAAACTTCCGAAAGTAGTGACCTCCTGAAAGTAACGCCAAAAAATTGTGGCCTCTGGCGACTCTCCGAGAGTAGCGAACCCTCCGAAAGTAACGAGCCCCAAAAGCTACTAATTTCGAAAGTAACGAGAACCGAGGAGGAACTTACATATAAAAGGACGGGGGTGCTCGCCGTGTCTTTTAAGGGTTAAAAAAGCGATTTTGGTACCTCTAAGGGTGTTCAGCCTCAAAACGTCCACCTAGGGAGCTTTTGTAGTACCTTTTAGGGTATTGAGGCGAAAAAGTGTCAGGAGATAATGTGTTATGTAAGAATTGGTACCTCTTAGGGGAGAAAAAAGTTTAATACCACGCCCACAGAACAGGATCTTGGTACCTCTTAGGGGTTCTTTTCAAAATTTCCGACGAGCAGCCCCGTCCCTTTTATATGGGAGTCCCTCCCCCGGGAACGAGGGTCGTTACTTTCGGAAGTTTATAGCTCCAGTTTGGAGAAAAATTAAACCACTGCGTTTACGATTCTCAAATGCCTTGAATACGAATTCTTGAAAATATTTTTGGTCTAAGGGCAATAGTAGTCATTTTAAAAATTCTCCATACTTTTAAATGTTCTGGAGTTGGAGTGATGTCTTTTGAATAAATTAAAATTTCATTCAGTAACTGTCCGCCATGTTTACTTGCCAAGATGGCAAAGGTGGAGGGCTTAGTAACCAAGCTTTAGAAATGTCATATTCACCCTCTAGCGAGGTGAAAATCTTATATTCACCTCTTGAAATTATACTAAAATGCAATACATTGCAAAGACGCCAGACTCCCTCGCAGCCGTTTTTAGTGTCGTAAAGCAACGCTCCCCACAAACGGCTGCTCACATTCGAACATACCTTTCTCTTTGTTGTCTTTGCGCCAGTGAGATTACTAAGATTGTCTCTGGTGTGACCAATCAGAGCAAAGGAGAATGTAATCAACATTGTTTTACCCGCGAACTCGCAAGTGCTCTACAATGGAGGAAATACCGAGAAAGGTTTTGCAAATCAATCTTTGCTATATTTGTTCCGTTGCAGTTGACAAAAAAGAAAACATCTACATATTTGGGAAAAGTTCTGTCGATTTGTCATCGATTTTTAGATCTTCTCTTGATGTTACTGTGAGCAGTTATTCAGATACCGCATTTGATACCAGCGAGTTGTCGATTTGCAAATCCTGCCTTGATAGACGCCTTATACTTATCCTTATCTCATTATCCTTAAATGATAGATGCTTCTAATCTTAAGTATGTCTCCAAACGTATTGAAAAAGCGGTTGCTGTATAGCCTAATGACTATCTGGCCTGCAATGATCTACATGTGCCTCTTCAGTCCACATATAGGAGTTGTCACAGCACAGAGTCAGCTTTAATGAGGGTGCATTAAGACATTAAGATATCACTGGACAAAGGAAACAGTGTAATACTGGTTCGTTTGGATCTATCAGCCGCTTTTGACACTGTTAACCATGACTTACTTCTGTCTAGGCTTGAGCAGCGTTTTTGGAATTACCGGCACCGCTCTTAACTGGTTCAAGTCCTATCTTTGTAGTCGTGCACAATTTGTCAGCATCAATCAATCTCATTCAGCGAAACGTGACCTGACCTGATAAAACAATCATACAGTTGTTAAATTAGAGCATGGATGCTTTTCGCCAGCCAATGAAATTTATTCCGACATCAAAACGTGTTGAAATTACTATAGCAACTTCCCATCTACAAGGTAAAAAAAATAAAACAATAGGCAGAGGCAGGGGTAGATTATTTCAGAAGGGCCAAATAATTTGCACTGCCTCTTCCCCTCTCCTAGTTTAGGATATCAGTGGTGTTTTCCACAAGTGAGATTTTTGTTTTTCTATTGCTAAACATTTGTGTACTCCTCTCTCTTGTTCCTCTTTGTTGAAATTCTAGATTTGCCCTCCCCCAGGGTACATAGGTTTGTTTGATCGAATTAATGTTGCAAAATAGTCATCAGTGGCCCATTGCCTGGTTCTAAACCAATATCAAAACTGCTGGTGGCATTGGGAGCAAAGAAAGACCAAGGAACGGGATTTTTGGTTTTTCGCCTGCCCGGAAAATGGGGCGAGAGCCAAAACAACAATTAGAAGCCAAGTTTGTAGGAAAAAGACCAAATCTAGAAAAATGTCCAAAACAGCACATATAAGCCGGACTCATGCCTTAATTCAGGTGAGAGCGTCTCCGTAGGGTTTGGGAGCAAAGAAAGACCAAGGAACGGGATTTTCGGTGTTTCGCCTGCGCGGAAAACGGGGCGAGAGCCAAAAGAAAGAAGATCTTCATTTTTCGCGCTGTAATTATTTGCTCCCGAACCCCACAGAAAGGCTACGCAGGCTAATTCTAAAGACTATTGTTGCTATTAATAGACGAATGGTACCATTGTCAGACTGAAAGGACTCCAGAATGTTTTCCTTATTGGCTGCAGGAGTGCAGGACTTCATCATTTCAATGAAGACATTTCTGGGGTCATCTCCAACAAACGTGTTTCCCTAAAAGAGCTTTAATAGTAGCACAAAGTATACCACGCTGTCTTATAGTTTGGCAATAAGTAA